TGACCAGACTCCCAAAGCTTTGATTCTAAAACCATCCTTTGCCCACTTACCTAAGATTGTGATTACACATCAAATGAATTCACCTTGACATCCCTGTGAAGGCAGTTTGTGTAAACAGATACTATCCCTGCTTGGTTCTGAGGCTGTGGAGGCCTGTTCATCTCCACATCACAACCACCTTCCCTGTTCACGTTCTGAAACCCTGGCCATGATTTTCCCTAACGGCTGGGTCCCACACCCACGTACACAGCCGATTTCCTGGACATCTTCAAAGGGGCTTGTAAATTACCTCCCACACCTAAGGAGATAACTGCACTACCTCATTCTACAAAAAAAAAAAAAAAAAAAAAGGAATGCTTTCCATGAGAGCATCAACAATGCTATCACCTAACAACACTACTGTAACTAGAACTCTGTTCCACCTCTCTCACCGTGACTTCATATTCTGGTGAGTTCCATTTTGTTTTGGCCAGTTTTGTTACTGCTTCTTCCCAAAGCAGTTTATGAGGTCAACAAATGTGTACACATGCTTGGCATACAACCAGCACACATCATTTTATCCTGGCTGGTAGGACACAGCTGAGGCATAAGTGATCACAAATGCTCCGTGCGTTTCACTGATTAAAGGATAAAGGGGGCGCTGGGGAAAGAGAGCCCTTTGAGATTTCTGAAACCCAATCCTCTGGGCACAGGCTTGGTTTCATTTATATCTGAAATCTGACCAGTACCCGTGCTTGGCTACTCCTCATTGAGAACTATTTTTAAGGTACCCTGCACATTCCAAACCACATATTCTATACATTGCTCTCTCTTAACAAATGGAAATCTCTCACGGGGGGCAAAGTCAGGGAAGAACCTGGTGCCTGGTGTGAGAATCTTGCTACTATCTACTGAGACAAATAGGCAACAGGAACACTGTTCATTTGAAATCCTTTTTTTTTTTCAACCAGTTAATTTTTTGTGTGGTTGCATTAATGGGTCAGTGGGTGTTAACAGATTCTGAGTTCAGCTTTCTCTGCCCATGGCTGTTTTCAGAGGGCAGGGCGTGGATATGCCATTCCCTTCCTGGACTTGTTATATGTGCCATCTGAGCAGCAGGCTTTCTTCACAGATTTGTTATCTGCTAAAATGCTGCAGTGTAAGAATGTAGATTTTTACTTTTCTCCTGTTGTTGTTATTGCTGCTACTGGTACTACTGGTACAATTAGTACAAGTAATAATTTAACCTGCATAAAACATGTGAATTTTCCAAAGTAAGAACTTACCTTTTCCCCCTTTCCCTAAGTAGGAAAATCTATAAGGCAGAAATCATGGGAGGTGTTTCACAAATGGAACTTGAGAAATTGATCCTTTTTTAAAACTTCAGCTGAAAGTCAGAAAGGTGTTTCTTCTGTTAAGCCATTGAGACTAGGTGTCCTCTAAGGCCCCATCCCTTCCCCAAGGCACACAGGCGAAGGACTGGAGGAAGTACAGACGTGGTAGCAGTTGGCTTATGCAGATAATCAGTGGTAATTTCAAGGGTGATGTAAGAGGGAATAAACTGCTGCGGGTGCACGCAGCCTTAGTCTTGGCCTCATTCTAGAGGAAAGCCTCGTGTTTGCCTTTCGCCCAGTTCCCGGGGTGTCTTCAACGGGAGTAGTCAGTCAGCTGCCCTGCTGGGGGCCTGTGTACCCTTTCCATCATGGCCTGAGAGGAAAGCCGTTGTAAGCAATGAGTTCCGGATGTTTTCATTAAAAGGCTTGTAGGAGTTTTTTCTAGAACTGTCTGCTGTGCCATTTTAACCCAATGTAATAATCAAAGACCAAGCTAAGCTGTCTGTCAGGGTGACATCACCCGAGGGACAGAGCATCCCAGACCCAGACTCCATAAGGGCGGACATTCGGCTCCTCAAAATAAAAGGAAAAACTATGGAGCCACCAAGCTGGTCCTAAAATATGTGTTATCTTTAAATGATATTTTCAAATATGATATGTTTGCATGCATAATTGGGTTTTCTCTTCTGTGCAAAATGCCTTAGTGAATAAAACTGTCCCAACAAAGGATGTTTAACTTTGGTTCAGACCATTTTCCCTTCTAGGGATGCTCCCGAGACACTGCCTTTCACTATGAGTTTTCTTCTTTTTTTTTTTTTTATGTTCTCGTTAAAATATATAAAATTAAAGAAAACCAGACAGATGTTTAAAAAGAAGAAACATACCTTGGCCACATCACTGGCCATGCAGTTAGTCACCTGAGTGATCCGTGTTTAGAAACATCCCCCAGGAAATGGAGCTCTTGTTGGCGTGTCCGGGCCCCGGGGAGCAAGGGGAGGTCAGGGCTGCCAATCCCTGCAGTCCTGGGCAGCAGGGGGACAGGACTGACCAGGCCTGAGCAGACTGTTTTAGACCCAGTCCTACCACTGTTCCCCTGGAGAGCTGAATGGCCGAATGCTCCACTCGGGCCTCGTTTTTCTCATTCTCATCATGAGGGAGTCAGACGTTCCCTTCTGAGCTACCCGGACTTGCCATATGGCACCAACTAACTCGGCTAGTCTCCATCTTCTGGAGTTTGCCTTCCTAGAACGTTCAGTTTTATCCAATAAAGTATTTCTCTCTCTCTCTCTCTCAGACTGTTGCCGGTTTTTGAAGCTATGCAGTGCGTGTATGTATGTGGCAAGTGACAGGAAGGCGTATCAGAGGCCTAGCATCATCGCACACTTGATCAGAGCTTAACTGAACAGGGCTGTGTGACAGGCCTTGACTGATGGCGCCTATGGGAGGGGAGCTGCATTTCTCCTCAAATAGTGTGTTATGTCCGGCCAGAGCTGTGCTTCTGCGCAGGACCCGGGAGCAGCCAGTAACAAGTGACAAAGGGCTACAGTGGGCAGAGAAAATTGGTGCCATGACCAGGGCAGCTGTGACACCCCTTCCCGCCTATAGTCTTCGATGGTGGGACATAATCCCTCTCATTATTAATCATACTTGATGCTTAGATAGCATTTAGCACTGTTTAGTGTACTTGTTCAGGTAATAGCTCATTGGCTCTGAGAATCATCCACATATAACCACATGAAGCAGGCAGGGCCATTTTACAGATGAGAAAACAGAGGCTGACACTCGCCTGAGAAACAGGGCTAGTAATGGACACAGAGCGGCCAGGACCCAGAGCCCGATGCCCATGCCAGGGTTGACTCCAGCACAGCATGGCGGCCCTGCTAGACATCACTGTGCTCAGTGTGAACTGAGAGCTGGGACACGTGTCTTCCTGAGCTTTCCGCTTTGGAGGTGGATCATTCAATTCATTTGAAATGTACAGAATTGTGGGTTTGCTAGTGTCCAAGCAACCAGTATTCCAGATGAAGACCCTGCGTGGAGCCCGGGCTGATCAAAGGGTTTTTATTGTGAAAGTTCCATAGAGGTACAAGACGCACTAATCTCTAAATCCATATTTGGGGGAAAACCTACATATATAGTGTTCTGTTTTACTTTTGGTATAAAACCTAGGAACAGCTTACCTGCAAATTTGGAATGAGAACACTCTAAAGTTGATCTGCCGTAATACATGTCCAATTCCATGTCCAGAGCCCGTGCTCAGAAAACATCTTTAAAAATCACAAATGCTTATTCTGGGCACCGTGAGCTCCAGACTGGGAGGACGGCACTGCTGCTCTGGGACGGCACCAGCAACCCCACACGGCACTCGGGGCTTCCGCTGGTCGTCCGGGAGCTGGCACTGCCGTGTGCTTGGCCACTGGCATGCAGAATTCTCCTGGTCACGCCTCTGTGTGGCCCACAGTTACTTCTCTCCGGGGCACGGACTTGGATGCCACCTTTGGGGGAGCCTGGCCTCTGCCAAAGTAATGTAAGGTGGTGGACTACAAAGGCTGTTTCAAAAACTGTTTTTGTTTTACGTAAGCTTTTTGGGGAAGGTTTTCATGTTACTGTGTGCCCTATCCACGAGGGCAGAAATTTGACATACTCTCTCACAGGCTGGAGATACCTGAACTCATGTCTGGGTGGGCCAGCTGCCCCACCTGCCTACCTCTAACAGCGGGACTCACAGCCTAACCAAGGCATTAGCTGCAAGCTGAGCAAAAGGCCCGAGCGCTCCACCCCGAGTGCCTCTTCATTTCTTAGTCAAATGCCTGACCTTCTTGTGGAGGGAGCTCCTGTTTGCTTCCAGGTGTGAGGCTCCCTCCCACCCGCCCGCCACTACTCTGCCCTTTGGGAGCCACTAAGAAGCCTCAGAGCTGAGTGGTAACACCCCCACTGGGAATAATAAACTAAGATCTTTATCCAGATATTGTCTAATGTGTACTATGTTGCTCTAACCCTGCAATAACCTGCCTTGACTAGCAGTATCAGAGTCAGGGACTCACTCCTCAGCGACACCTGTCTTTTGGTGCTGGGTGGAATTACTTGCATGGAGGAGCTTTTGCTGACAGGACCACTGACAACTGTTTCATAGAATGGAGTATCTGTGGTGGCTCAGGACTTTGTTGACAAGGCGTTACTGTGGCAACAGCAGAGCACGCTGAAGAGTCCAGGTCAGGAGTGCACTCCTTGAATCTGCTACTGGCCAGAGCGCTGTCCCCAGAAACCACGGGGCGTGTGAGACACAGGGGAGGGGTTTTCTCCAGACTAGCAAAAACAGTGCTTGGTGTTATCCCAGTTTTCTTTCCCGTTTGACCAGAAGCCGGGTAATGCTCACAAATCAGTCTCCTACGTCTTGCTACATTTCCAGGCACCCCCGGGCCCTGGGGACACAGGTGTACGGGTGGGACCATGCCTGCCTGACAGGGGGTGCTGGCAGTTCCCTGCATTCAGCCTGCGTAGACCCTCCAATTCCAACTGCATGCAGTGGGTCGGCGTCTAGTGAAGTCCTCCTGATTCCATCTCCTCCTACTGCGTTCACTAAGGGCCTTGGACTCACAGGAAATGTCAGACAGCCAACCACACAGCAAAGGAAGGGTGGGAGGGCAGGGGAGAGGGGTGGCCGGTGGGACCAGCCAGCTTGCTGACCTCTAGATTGAAACAGCTCTGGCCTCCCGGCCTGCAGCTCCGGGCATCCCCGTCGGCTCGGCGGTGCAGCTCCCGCGTGGCTCGGAGGTGCGAGTGCTCCCGCTCGTCCCCTCGCTCCTGACCCAGCTGCCACTCCATCTGATCTCTCAGTTTGGACTGTTAGGTGCATGGAGGGATTTGGTTGTTGTTGTTTTTTAAATTTTAAATAAAAAACAAAGGACAAGAGGGTGAGGGTGGGGTAGGGAAGGGAGATAAAGAAAACAAAAATGGGTAAGGCAGACGACTGAGAACACTACCAGACGAAGAAAAGCATGGACAGGAAAACCAACTTAAACACAGTGGCGTAAGAGAGTGAAGAGAACAGAACCAAAATGAGGATGAGCAAAACGATGGGCTGAAAGATCTGGAAAGCAAAGAGAGAGGGGGGAAGAATGCAAAACACTGGTTATGAGGCGCATGCAATGGGGATGCATGAATCACAGACGCAACCGCAAGCACGCTACCCATGAAGGATACGGAAGCAAGGCTCCTCCTTCCGCGCTGTGGTCGAGCAGTCAAAGCCATAATCCAGGGTGGCAGCTGGGTCATGCACCCCAGGGCGACGCATAGGAAAGCAGTCCTGGGTCGGCTACTCCTCTCGGCCCTCACCCTCGGCTCAGGGAGGGCAGCGGGAGCAAGCCAGCCGCGAGACTTTCCATCGCAACCATCCTTCTCTCAGAGCTGCGCTCCTCTCCCCACTCTGGCTCATCTTCCAGTGGGAGTGGGTGGGCCTGGGTGCCTAGGGCCTTTCAGAACTGTCCCCTTTGGCAATGAAACTTGCTCCTGAGCGAGTTTGCTAATTCTCCTGACTGTGAAATGAGTTTGCACTTTGTCTTAAACTCCTCTTAGCTTCTTCATCAGGATAGCTGGTCGTTTGAGACACCAAGAATAGAGAAAGACTGCTTCGATCCCTATCGCTTCCATTGGGATTAGCCTGGTGCCATGAGGGAGGACCTCTAAGCCAAGAGCAACGGCGCAGTTAAAAATAAGAGAGGAAAAGGGAAAAAGAAACAAGGAAATAAGAGAGAACTTAAACAAAAAGAAATCCAACCAATAGAAAGGATTTGGTTGACACTTGAGGCTTTAGTACAATGCAGGCTTGAAATCATAACCAAGCAGCCGTGAGCAGAATGAGTTCAAGTGCAGCAAGGCCAGCAAGGAGGAGGAAGAGCAAAACCGAGCAGGGAGGCAGAGCCAGGAGCCCCCTTACCTGCAAGTCTGGGACCAGCTCCTTCCCCAGGTTCCCGATGGGGGAGTCCCGGGACACGGAGGTCACGGTGGAGAGGAAGCTGGAGGACTCGGTGAGGTGGGGCAAGGGGGACAGGCCTTCCAGGCGCTCCCTCACACCATCCCCGAGCCGGTTCACCTGCTCCAGGAAGGTCTGGAGCTCCTTCCGGAAAGTCTTCATCCTGGCATTGATGGTCCCCAGCAGCTGGGGCCCCTTCCTGTCCCCCTCCCCCTGAACACCAGGCCCCGGCGAGGCCACGTCGTCCACAAAGCCATTGGTGTCCGTGATGAGGCTCTCCATGGTCCGTTCCAGCCGCTCAGCCTCATGCTTTATGCTCACCAAGCACTCGGAGTCCTCCCTGGCCCTCAGGACCTCTGCCGGACACAGCTCGCTGGCCTCCGACGGCTTTCTGCTGCTGAAGCCGGACGTCTTCTCCAACACCTCTTCCGAGTCACTCTCCCCGCCAATGGGGCCCTCCCGCCTGGGCTGGGGCAGGCGGCCTTCCTCCCCATCGCTCTCCTTCTTGCCCGTGTCACTGTCGGCGTCGCTGTCCCGGGGGCTCGGGGCACGCAGGCCCAGGTGGGCGGCCAGGTCGTAGCGCTGGACGTTGGACAGCAGCACCCGGTTCTCATACTGTAGCTTCAGGACCTTCCCGCTCAGCTCGCTGATCTGCAGCTGAGCGGACTTCAGCTCCTCCTGCAGGGGAGCCCCACCATTCATGCCCTTGCCTCCGCCATCCGCCAGCCACCCGGGCTCCGGGCGCGGTTCAAACTTGAACTTGCTCAGCTCATGTGTTAGCTGCCGGTTGTGGTCTTCGATCTCAGATATGGACCTTCGAAGCAGCTCCGCTTCCTCCTCCACAAACTGCAGGTGTCGGCGGAGCTCCGTGGAGGACTCCAGGGAGTCGCCGAAGGGTGAGGTAGGAATGCTTGGGAGGTGGTCCCGGCCGGGACCCTCTCGCTCATACTGGCCTCGCATGTCCTCCATCTCTGCTTTGAGGCCTCGGTTCTCCACTTCCAGCTCCACGATCTTCCGGCCCAAGATGTTGGCTTCTTCCTCTACCAACTTCAGCCGCAGCTTCAGCTCCGCCTCCCTGGTGCTGGGTGGCCCACCGGCTTCCCCGGTGGGCAGGGGGCTGTCCACGTCGCCATACAGGGCCTTGTACTTCTGGAGCTCCTGCTCCAGCTCGTCCTTCTCCTTGCCCAGCTTGGCCATCTTTTTGCGCATCAGGGAGCCTTCCTCTTTGGCAAACTGAAGCTGGCATTTCAAATCGGCACTGTCATCCTGCCAGGAAAGAACAGCCCGAGAGAAGGGTTATTTGAAAATACCAAATGTTCGTGTTTTTGATGATTTCCCTCGCACCTCGCCCCCAACACACAAAAAAACAAAACACCGATCTTTTTGTCAGTGCGTCAGGTTACAGGAGAAGGGGCCAAAACAAATCCAAGGGGAGCTGGGGCCTTAACAACGTCTGCTGCTTTGTCACAGACACAAAAGAAACCAAACAATTAGTTTGGAAAACACGTGCACATGAAAACCATCATACAGGTGATGCGTGAGGAGAAAATGAAATGAAACTCAACACCTGCCAGTGATGCGGTGATCCTGCGTTACCTTGTGGTCCAACCTGACTTGTCACTGGCATCAGTGGGAGAGAGAACCCCTCGCCAAGTCTGGGGCAGGCACACAGGCTTCCGTAGCCACTTCCACCAGTGGCCACTCACTTCCTCCATGGTGCAGACCTCCCTCATCCAAAGTGGTCAGCAACCCACAGGTGTTACCAGGAGGGGGAGGCCAGGTGACCCCAAATCATGGCCAGGCTTTCCACTGACATGCTGAGAACCTGAGACATGGCAATGCCCCTCCCCCTCCCCAGGTCTCCCCATCCCCAGTGTATCACAAGGATGACATGAGCACAAAATTATGAGATGACAGGCATGAGGGTGCTTTGGGAGTCAAGGTGTGGAGTCAGTACCAAGCTCTGACAGTTAGTATGAATTGGTTACTGCAAACCTAAGGACCTGGGTTACTCACAACCTTCCGCCATGCAAGTGCAACTTCAGAGCCTGAGGTTATGTTCCGCTCCCTTTAGTTGCTATAACACAGCAGGAAAGTAAACTCAGAAACCCAACACAAGGAGGTTAAGTGTTTCAAAACCTGAGATGTAGTTATTACTGGAATACCAGAGGATGCCGAGGGTCACCCAAACAGACTCTCTCTCCTAAATGCCACACTGCTTGGCTGAGGTCAAGAGGGCAATATTTGGCCAATGGGAAAGCTGACTCTGCCTTCACAGTGCAGGTCTCAAAGCCGTGAAGCGACATGAATTCTGGTTTGGGCTTGCACAAAGGTTTTCTATCACATTCAGTGGGAACAATGACCACTTTCATGAATCATTCCTCTTTGGTTGGCTATCAGAAGTTTCAAAGGGCTGTCATGGGGACAAAACTTTCAGCAAAGGATTCCCCATCACACAGAGACACTCAACAGCATGCTAGAGGGTAGGCAAATCCCACCAGCTTCAGGGGAAGGGAAGTCATCAAACCAATATCTGGAACAAGTCAACCCCTTGGGGAGAATGAAGTCTTTGAGTGTGTGCTCGCGTGGCCTAGTAGAGTTGACACAGCTTTCACACTCATTCTCTGCCATGTTTTTGCCACCTCTCACCATTAGTCAGAAAGATACAGAAAGACCTCCCTTGGTGACCCCTCAACTTTCATCCTTCCACCCACCCACCTCTTCCCTGTACCACAAATCTACTGGGGATAGGGAGTGATGTGACAGGGCCGACTGGAGGAAAAATCTAAGGCCAGCTGTGAGCCAGTGCTGTGTGGAATGTAGGCCCTGGTGCTGTCTGTGCATCTTCTGAAGGACATGCTCCCCCTGCCATCCTCCTAGCAGAGGACAAACCAGTCCTGCCACACCTGGGGTCAAACATGCTGCCCTGAGTTCCACTTCTGCCCCTTCTGTCCCTGGTACCATGGGCTGATCACAGAGCCCTGGTGAACCCATCTCCCTATGTCTAAAGCAGGATCCTAGCTCAATCACAAGGTCGTTTTGAAGGTCAAATGGAATAATGTATAGCAAAGTGGTTTGTGTATGTATGATAAATCTCCATACTCTAGCACCCTGAAATTAACTTTCTCTTTGTCTGAAACACAATTAATATTAGGGGAAGGAGCCAGTAACTCTACTCTCCCCACTCCTCCCCCTGCTCTGTGTATCAGAGGGTAATATATAAATAACATTAGGAACAGAGCATGGTCTTCATGTTCTACAAACTCATCCCATTAAGGATTTGGTTTTGGGGGATTAAGCAGACATAAAAAGGGCTTCTATGACTAACTGGGAAATGAAGCTGTCTGCCCACTCATACTAAGCAACATGTGTTATTAACACTGCTGGGATAGTGATGTATATATTTTTAAAGGGCCTAATTGAATAGATGAGCTGTAAAAGACATATTGTAGTCTATCCCAACACTAAGGGGAAAGTATGCATATTTGTTGATTCCTTCATTCTTCCTGTACATACTGAGTACTTACTATGCACCAGAAATTGACATTCTACTTTTAAATGACCCCAGCTTCATAAAACTTTCTAAAGTAAAACAAGCAAAAGTACCTTTTCAATTTGTTGTTAAACCTAGATTCCCAAGAAATCAATGGAGACGGACTACCAATACTTTGTAAATGGATTAGTGTAGGAGTGAAAAGCCTGGGACAAGACAAGATAATGCCCTTAGCCCCATCATTAACTTGATAGCCAGTGTTTATCCTTCGTCCAAAATCACCTAAGTGATCCTATCTCCACCATAGAACAGAAAAAGTCACCTTCGTACATGAGGATGGCAGCAGAGGTCATGGAAGACAATGTCGCCAGCCACAAGGGAACTCCAACCTCTGTCCACCTCAAGCCTGAGCAGACCCAGAGATGGACAAGACCACCTACTATAACCATTGCCCTAACCCTACTTCCATGGAAACTTGCAACTGGTGAGGCCTTGATATGAAAGAACAGGTTGGAAAAGGGCAAACGAGGGGCGGAGTTACCTGCTCAGTTCTTGGGAGCTTTTGTCTCAAACCCAGACCAGGGAGTCTCAGGGGATCTCTGCTGGGAGTGTTCCCCAAAAGTGGAGCTAAGAAGTTGAGGGTAATATCTCTGAGAGGCACATGAACCAGGCCTTGCACAAGGGTTCTGAAACACTTGGTTATAAATACTTAGAGTAGAAAAATACTATGAAGCCCTCAAATTGCCTTGATTTCTGGAAACCTTGAACCTTGCACCACCCCTTTCCATTGGCCTTCCCCACAAGTCTGACTATAAACCAGAACCATTCTCCTCTGTCTCCTTGAACCTAAACCCCGGTCAGTTAAAGAAGCAAGATTATATGACATACCCTAATGATGTCCAATTTTTAGAGTACTTGAAGATTGAAAAAATATCCAAAAAGTCTTCTTGTTCCTTAAAGGAAGAACTATACACACAGCAAGAATTTCACATATGATTAAAGCATGCTGTCATTTCTACTACACACCCATGCACGATGAGGCCTGCCACCGAGACTAAAGCAGTTTTTGAAAGAGCAATCTTTGAAGTCAAGGCAGTGTGTGCATTTAATGAAGGCGTCAGACTTCCTCACTCCGTTGAGGTGGCTGGAGAAGGTGCTGTATCTTCTGGGGCCGGCGTGCGGGAGGGGAGGCAGGGGGCTGGGCTCAGCCTGTTCTGGGGGCAGGAAGTCACTCCTTCTGACGAGATAGAGAATCACAGCCTCACCTAAAGCAGCGGGAGGCTGGCTACCCATCTTATTTTGTAACCACAGACTTCTAAACTCTGCCAAATCTCCGGGGTAAGGGTCTAGGCCAGCGGTTCTCAACCTGTGGGTCGCGACCCCTTTGGCGGTCGAATGACCCTTTCACAGGGGTCGCCTAAGACCATCCTGCATATCAGATATTTACATTACGATTCATAACAGTAGCAACATTACAGTTATGAAGTAGCAACGAAAATAATTTTATGGTTGGGTCACAACATGAGGAACTGTAGCTAAAGGGTCAGAAGGCTGAGAACCACTGGTCTAGGCTGAATCCTCAACTGAAGGATATCAAGCTCTGGTTTCAAGAGATGATCAGATAGCCCAGGAATGCAGTATGAAAGCAGAAGGTTGAGTCAAACTTTCCACACGACACTGTCCCTGTGCAAGCAGAGAAGGCAAGCATGGCATGGGAGCAGGACACACAGAGGACCACCACCACCACCACCACCACCAGCAGCAGCTGGAAAGGCCTTGCCAAGCAACAAAAATATATCACTACAGGTGTATATTCTTTGGCTTGCAAGTCTGATGTCTAGCCAGCACCCCAAGCGCTGACTGCTCGCATTCCTACCTTGCGCCGGGGTGCCAGTTTCCTTTGAGTTTTGGTTGCAGACCTGCAGTTCCCAAGGCGCTCCGCTCCACCACTCTGCTGGACAGAAACTCCTTTCTCAATGATACTGCAGGTTGGGGGGGACTGAACACATTCCCGGTGCCCGGGGCTTCTCAAACACTCCTGAGGGGCAGCACGGCTGTTCTCAGCCCGATTTACCCACAGGGGAAGGCAATACCATGCTGCTCCTTCCAGAATGGGGCAACAGCTACCCTTTTAAGGAAAAGATCTTCCCTGGTCAAGAGCCAGCAAGCTGAAAATCCTCGAAGCCCAGGAGGGCTCACGCACACAGCAGTGGGACTGCCGATTCCAATTTCCCTGGTATTAGTGAATGGCAAAGCGAGACTGGGGAGTAGAGGTGGTAGAAGAGAACAGTTCACCTTTGGCATCCCTGCTGTTCACACGGCCTGGCCCCCTTTGAAGGGCACTCTGGGGATCAGTGCGTTTGGAGACTGGAGAAACCAAAGGAATCAGTGTGGAATTCACAGGGGCGGGTCAGCAGAGCTCTTAGCTACTGCATCTCTCTAATTACCACTTGTTCTGAGAGCTCCGGGAGCTGATATCCCAGTAATACCTTTGTTCCCTCCAACACCTAATACTAGCAGTGATTTCAAAAAAGAGGAAGAGAGGAATCCAGTAAAGCAGGTATTCAGAAAAGCCAAGAAAGTTCTGAAGAACACATACCATGTACACAGAAAGGGCTACGTTTTTGCCATCTTTTGGTAAGAACATTTCACTTTCATTTAGGACAATTTAGGACACTGTTCAACTTGCACATATATATCTTACCTAATAATAGACAAACATGTAAATTGACCGTACCTTCACTATGCTAACCAGCCAATCAGGAGAGTATGCAAATTAACCCAACAAAGATGGCGGTTAATTTGCATACGTAGGCTCCAAGTGGTGGAGCCGGGGCCAGAGCAGCAAAGCCTGATGGCTCCGGGGTCAGCTCCGGCCAGAGCGAAGGCCTGGGTCCCGGGTGCCAGAGGCAAACCGGTGCCAGCAGCCAAGGGAAGGGAAGGCCTATTGCACGAATCTCTTCGTGCAACAGGCCTCTAGTATATATATAAAAACACAACAATGCTCAAAACAGTGCCGTGTGAATGACCTTGTGAATAGCACAGTAGTTGTACTATGTTACTGTGTGAATGACTTTTTACCAGTTATGGGTACTGCCAGAGCCCTGAACGGCACCAAATTATGTCTCACACAAAGCCATTCTGTTCTTCTCTTTCTTGAAGGAATCACCAGCTTATTGGTGCAAGAAACAAAAAGGGAGGAGCTGTTGGTTTGGAAAGAAAAGCTTCACCCATGGAGGTTTTGAATGAGTCCAAATTTTTTGCCAGGTAATGTTTCTTTGAATATTTTAAAGGCAACGGTAACATTTTTAAAGAAAATTCAACATGAGGTGCTTGTCTCCTGAGGAGATGTAACATTAGAACAAAACCTCTGCTTACCTGGTTAAAGGTTTTCTTTTCTTTGTATGTTTCCCGACTGCCTCTTCTTTTCAGGGAACTCTGAAATAGATCCAAGCGACATTCTGTTAAGGAGGGGTCACAGGGGGCACCTGCCCTGGGTGGGCACCATCCCCACTGGTCGGGGACACAAGGACAGGGCTCATTTTTCCCCACTGAAATCAAGAAACCATTTAGAGTCAACATTTCAATCCAGTAAATAGGTTGGTGAGGTCTTTGAATTCTAAAAGGCTTTAAATCCAAATTATTATATTTCAGGTATTCCTCAATTATTCAGTTTCATGAAAAAGGAAGGTAACTTAGGTAATTTGTACTAGTGGAGGGGAGACAAGAGGAGGAAAAGGTAGGAAGTTTTGGAAATAGATATATAATATGTCTGGGGCTGCCTTATTTCCTAATTATGTTTTGTTTGGACTAATATCAAAATTATTTGATGTTTCCTGAATGCCTAAAAGTACATGGTCAGATAAAAAAAAAAAGTGGTAGAGAGAGAGAGAGGGTGGCTCTTGTTTTGGGAGAAAACCTAATCTAGATTGCAACGTTCTCCATGAACAAGCCCCAATTCATGATTAAACCTACATCTTAAAGATCTGAGAGTTCCTAATATATTCATTTGTGATGTGGCCTTGGCCACAAGTAAGTGTCCTTCAGTGGACTGGGTCTTGCCTACTGTTACATACATTACAGTGCACCTTTGCCTGCTATAGGCAAGAAGTGTGTCTGAAATATAAACACAGGTATAAATACAAGGGCCCGGGGAGGGGGGGGGGTTTGAAATGGAATAACAGGGAGGCAGACAGTTTTTGCTCAGTAAAGTATGAAGAAAGAGCTACCGGGAAGAAGAGCGAGAAGAGGAATTTGAGACCTGAAAGCATTCCTGTAATCCTGAGAAAGGTGGAAGAAAGCGGCTTGGAAAGTTCAGATTGCTGGCTGTCACTCAGACCTTGGCAAACTTGTGAATGAGAGGACATTCTTGCTGGGGGCCGCCCCCTCCTCTCGGCAGCTTCACCCCGACTGAGGCAAGCACCTGGCTCCTCTGGGAACGCCTCTGAAGGTGGGTGGGCTCAGAGTCCTCTCTGCCTCATTCCTTTGCCGCAGCCCACATACCCAAGAAGCTGGGAAAGGAGGCTCTGATGCACGTCACTCATAACTGTCAGCCTTAAGTTAATTAACTCAGCTCTGTTTACATTTTAAGTGTCTCATTCACAGAAGACTAGGCCATGCCATTTATTGGATGAATTTTAGGGTTAAGAAACAAAATTCTAGCCCTAGCTGGTCTGGCTCAGTGGATAGAGCACTGGCCTGTGTTCTGAAGGGTCCTGGGTTCCATTCCAGTCAAGGGCACATGCCTGGGTTGCGGGCTCAATCCCCAGTTGGGGGTGTGCAGGAGGCAGCCAATCAATGATTCTCTATTATCACTGATGTTTCTATCTCTCTTCCCTCTCCCTTCCTCTCTAAAATCAATTATATATATATGAAACAAAATTCTAGTTTCCCTGAACCTTTAGGAGGCCTGGGTCAGGTGGGGTGTGTGTGCGTGTGTGTGTAATTGAGTGCATGGATGAGATGGTTATAGAATCAGCATGTGAGTGGGCATTCCCTGGTCACCAAGGGTGTGTGTGGAAGCTTGTCTCTGGTCCCCCCTGCGGAAGCAGCTTTATTTCCTTTAGGCTTTTTTGTAAAAGCAGCGTCACACTACAAAGAGAACCAGTCTCCTCTGACGGGTTAAATGAAGCAAGTCTTAAGAAGGGCTTGAGCTTTCCCTTCTTAATAAGTAGGTTTTCCAGGATTATTCACGCTGCAGTGAAGGAGTTTCTTTGATTTCAATGAGCTGAGTGAGATAAACACTTCTGACGATTCCCTATAGAAAATATAGGTTACAAACAGCATGTACTTTGTGGCTTCAATTTATAGCTAATAAAATATAAATATATGTATGTGTTATATGTGTGTGTTAGAAAAGTAGGTTATAGAAATTGTATAAAAATGTTAATAGTGATCATCTTCAGGTGACAGAATTACAGGTGATTTTAATTTTTGTTTTTGTGGCTTTTCATAGTCTCCAAATTATCTACAATAAATACTATTTCTTTTGCAAGAAAACGAAACAAAAGTAACCAGGATATGAAAATTTGTACTTTAACGAGGTGAGAGAAAGAGGCTAGCACCCATCTTCCTACATCGGACTGCAGCGGAGCTTCATCAGAAGTTCTGTGCCAAGTTGTTGGGCTTTTTTCCACAATTAGAAATTGTTTTCATTAGCCTGGACCTTGAGGTATCACCTATACATATACAGTTCTTTAAAAGGACCAAGAGGCTCCCTAAGGGTTGGAGAAACTGGCCAGGTGACCTACTGCCCTGCAGGCCCCTGGCATACGGCTCCCTCTCCATGTTCCAAGCAGTGATGAAGCCCCTACCCTGCGTGCAGTCTCCTCCCTGGCTCACCTGCATATTGGCCAAGGAACCCTGGGTATAGAATGATTTGTATGAGCATCATTTTTTAAAAAATATCTATATTTTTTATTGATTTCAGAGAGAGGAAGGGAAAGGGAGAGAAAGATAGAAACATCAATGATGAGATAATCACTGATTGGCTGCCTTCTGCACACCCCCTACTGGGGACCAAGCCCCCCCCTCACCCCTCTGCAACTTGGGCACGTGCCCTGACCGGGAATTGAACCGTGACCTCCTGGTTCATAGGTTGACGCTTAACCACTGAGCCACAGCAGCCGATCTGTATGAGCGTTATTTGTGGCCATCCTCTGGGTGACGCAAAGATCCAGTGGGGAGTCTCTTCCAAGAAACAATTAAGGGAAAGGGGGAAATGTAGACTATCAAATAAATGGAACCCAGAATGGGGTGTGCCGGCTGTTTAATCCTACTCTTTCTTTTTAGTCTGGCCAACTGCCAGAAAATCAATTCTAAATTCCTATGAAAAAGGGGGGGAAATTGGATTTGTGAATCCAAATTGAATCCATCCAAGACTGATGCATTTGCTGGGTACTGAATATGATTAAATAAAATATGAAGTTAGGCAATTATTTGGACTTCCATATCAATTCTTAATGTTTCCTATTTTAAGTTAGCCAGTTTCTTCTAAGCAATTTCAGAAAAGCGAACAAGCTCTCGTGGCTAAAGTGTCTTCAGAGAGATGCTTTTTGGGCTTTAACGTTTTAAATTGGTAATAAAAGGAGGCAAATATGAATTAGAATGCTATACATTATGAGTCTATATGGAAAAGAGGGTATAAGCGGATGATTTTCAAAATTCTTACAGAATCTCATTATTCAGAAAGTAGTCTGGGTTTTGGGGGGGCTGATTTATATCACACAGTTGTGAAATCAGAATAAGAAAATGATAGTTCATAGGTCTTCTTCCTTTTAGGAGGCAGTTACCAAGATTCTTCTACCCATATTGAAGTTCTCATTTGGGTGATACAGGATGTAAAGAGTAAAAACGATTAGCTTCCCCTTTAGCTAGAAGCACCAGGTCTTGGCTGGAAGATGCCTCCTGCCCTTTCCTCCTCTTCACTTGCCCTGAAACAGTTCTCAGGGAGACTGGTTCCCTTCCCGCCATGGAATCACATAGCATCCCCCCGAAACCAGCTGCACCAGTTACACTGCAGGGCCCAATACACGTAAACCCCCTCGGATTCTATGGAAAACCCTCCATGGCCATAAAAGGAAGGGAACCCGCCCTAGCTGGTTTGGCTCAGAGGATAGAGCATCAGCCTGCAGACGGAAGGGTCCTGGGTTTGATTACAGTCACGGGCACATGCCCAGGTTGCGGGCTTGGTCCCCAGTAGGGGGCGTGCAGGAGACAGCCGATCAATGATTCTCTCTCATCATTGATGTTTCTATCTGTCTCTCCCTCTCCCTTCTTCTCTGAAATCGATAAAAAAAAATACACATATATTTTTTAAATGGAAGAGAACCCTCACTCTGGCCCTGTTTGGGAGGGTAATGTGATATTATCAACTACCATTTGTTGGGCACTTACTTATGCCAGGCACAATGCTAAACTCTTTCTTTACACAACTAACCTAATTTAATTCTCACGAGACCCTGCGAGGCATATATTATTATCACTAACAGATAAGAAAACACAGCAGACATTAGGTAGTGTTTCAAGGTGCCCCAGACTGGGAGATGGGGCACCAACCTGTCCCCGACTCCAGCTCTCGCTCCTGGTCACAGCCTCCAACCTCAGAGCTGCCGCCAAGCCTTCCACCGTCCAGTTTCCTTATTTGGGCTGTTTTTCTTTTTGTTTTCTCAAGGTTTCTAAGCCCCAAATTGCTGAGTTTTCTCATCCAAAGAGTTTCTCCTTTCTTTAGAGAAAAAGCACAAAGAGCTATTCTAGGAATGGTTGCAAATTGCTCTGCTCACAAGATACCTCATGGCCGTGAAGTGCTTGTTGGCACTCTGATTATTTCTGAAAGGTCTGAGCTGCAGACAGCAGAAGTCCTTATTTGGAAAAGATATAAAACTATTAGCAGAGACGAAATACCACAAAGCAAATGAGGAGACGTGAAGGAAAATGATATTGAGACACTTCGGCTGAAGAAGGCCACAGCCACACCGTCCAGGCCATGAGGCCCACCTGGAACAGACCAGACTGCATACCCAGCCTGTCAGGCGGCACCTTCTCCTGGGAAAGAACATGATGATAAAACATGACAGGTCGCTGCACATTTGCTTTTCTTGGCTCAGTTTCAACCTTAGAGACATATATCTTGAGGCCTAGTGATTGGAAAATTGCTGGCTAAAACATGCTACAACACAGTAACCTCAACCAAACATGGTAAAATAAGTGAAATGGAAGATGATAAAGTAAAGCTGTAGGTTATCCTTCGTATGCAAAAAAAAAAAAAAAAAAAAAAAAAAGGAAAATCAGGACCATTGCAAGACCATGATGATGATTGCACCAAAAAAAGTCCTTCTCCCAAATTGTAGAAAACTCAACTCTTTTTTCTCTTTTTAATCCTCACCTGAGGATATGTTTTTATTGATGTTTTAGAGAGAAAGGAAGGGGGAGAGAGAAAT